GGTGGGTGTGGGTTGAGTACCAACCCACCCATACTGACCCACAACCCCATTTGTCACTCATGTTAGCGGGTCAGAGTGGGTTTACCCTGACCCACCCGTTTGACCAGCTAGTACAAATTAGAACTTTTCTTTTATTTTTTCTATCCTAATTGTAAAAAAACAAAAAATTATATATTTCAACTAAAAACATAAAAAAATCAAATAAAAATAAAAAACAAAAACATTAAAACACAAAAAATGGTAAAAAAATATACATTTTGTGTAAAACATCAAAAATTGCTGAAAAAAAACTTAGGGAATAATGAAAATTTTTAAATAAAAGTATAAAGAGAAATTGTAAACAAACATAGAAAATTGCAAGAAGATTCATAAATTTCAGAAAAAAATGCAAAAAGTTTGCAAAAATACAAAAGAAATAATAAAAATTATAAATTGCATAAAATCAAGAAAAAAATATACAAATTGTAGAAAATATATTAAATGATAAAATTTTCAGAAAAACACGTAAAATTATAAAAAATTAAAGACATTTATATTTCAGCTAATTCCAAAAACTACCGAAAATAATAAAAATTAATAGAACATTGTAGAAATTATAGAAAATGCAAAATGTAAAATTTTACAAAAAAAAATGCAAAAATATAGAGAAATGTAGAAAATGCAAATTTGGGAGGTTGTTCTTCAACTATTAAGACGAAAATCAATCATTGTAAGGGCTCAATTTACTAGAAAAATTTGGTGCTTGAATCGTTGATCTCCCACATAAATTTGTAGTTCATTACTAGTATATAAAAATACCAAATTACAGCTCAGTTGATCCCATGACTCATAGGAAGTGCCATGGTACTGGCTCCACCATTAAACTGAGAAACAACAACATTTACACAGAAAACAAAAAGTTGGAAATCCAAGGAAGCTTCTTCAAAAGAGAAGTTATAATTAACCTATAAGGTAACTAAGCATCCAAATCTCATCATTCATATCATGGTTCTTGTCATTAATTTTATTCAAAGAAGTGAAATTTGGCGACAAGATGAAGAGAAGTCTTTTTGTGTTTTTGGTATTTCTCCGACTTGAAGAACCATGCATCGGATGATACAGTGGCGATGACAACACAAGAATAGGAATGCGTTTTTGGTATTTCTCAATACCATCAAAGGTTTTTGAAAAGAGACAGAAGAAGTGATCATGTGGCTCTTGTTAGATTGATCCAAGAGCAATGGTTAGAGATCAGACATCTGCAACTTGATTAGCTATTTAATGGGGCTTCTCTGATGACGGCCAATCACATCATTGAGTAATTAATTTGTTATTTTCCATCATCTCGATCTCTCCTTGAGTTGCCCTCTTTGAGCGAACAGTGCTCCAGCACTATAGTTCAGTGGGTTGTGTCTTTTCTCTGTTCTTAGAGAAAGGCACATAACATTTGGTATCAAAGCCGATTGATCCCCGGGACTCAAGAAGAGAAAGTCTCCAAGTTCTTCTGTCTCAACCGTATGGAGAAGAACCATGAATGGATCTTAGCTCAAATGGCAAAAATTGAAGATATGCTCAAATAGGTTTTGCCTCTAATGGATGAAGCAACAGTGACGAAGACTCCTTCCGGTCGAAGGGTGTTGTAACTACTTTGATACCACCTTCAGAACCAATCGGGATCATTGGTGTTAATCACCATAGGCAAATAATAATATTTGGGGCTACATTAGTGTATGATGAGACTACTAAATCATTTAAGTGGGTTTTTAAAAAATTATTGAATGCAATGGGTGGGAAAAAACCAATAATGATCTTAACAGAAGCAATGGCAAAGGCCATCAGTATGTCTTTCCAGGGGTTAATCATCGCCTTTCTATTTGGCACATTTATTAGAATGTCGTTAAACATTTGTCCCATCTGTTTTTGTGTTTCCAAGACTTTTGAGAAAGATTTCAACAAATTGATATATGATTACGAAGAAGATGATGAATTTCTCAAGGTGTGGGAAGAAATGCTTTGTCAGTATGGTTTGAAAGAAAATACATGGTCGAAAGGGTTGTTTAAAGCAATGTTTTAAAAACCGACCCAGAAGTCGAACTATTTTTGCCTCCGGGTCGCGGATCACCGGTTCGACCAGCCAGGTCGAACGGTTTAGACCATACCGCACCATCATATATATGTATTAAGTATATATATACATATGTATATATGTGTATAAATATATATTTTATAAATAAATAATGTACAAATATGTTTTAGATATGTTATATGTATTTTTATGTTTAATTTATATTTTTTAACTTAGTTTTTATTTTTTATTTATAAAAGTATTAAAAATTGCAATTTAAGGCCAAAAGGGGCTTTTTACGAAAATAGTGGGGCAAGGCATCATTACCACCTTGAGACACATAGATCTCGAAAAGTTATACAAAAAAAAAAATCACCTCAATCAGACATCGGAGTGCAAAGTTATGGCCTCTGGAAATTTGCATACATTGAGTGTGCAACCCGCAACACGGTGACCGGGTTGAATAGGTCAACGGTCGAACCGGGCGGGTCAAAAAGTTCTTGACCAAGTTAACGGTTTTTGACCATCTAACGGATCTTGACTGAACCAGGCCCGGAATCTTGTCCGAGTGACGGTTTGAATGGTTCGACCGGTCGAGTCAACAACGGGTTGAAAACACTGGTTTGAAATAAAAGATAAGTGGGCATTGGTTTATGGAGAAACCATTTTTCTGATAACATGAAAAGCACTCAAAGGAGTGAAAGCATGAATAGCTTGTTAAGGGGTTATTTGGAATCATCGTTGAATATATCTTGATTTTTTGACCATTTTGAAAGAGTTGTGAGAGATAGATGGCAAAAAGAATTAGAAATGGATTTCATGATGATTCATAGCAAACCCCACTTGAGCATCTAATTGTCGATTCTTGAACAAGCTACAACAATTTATACTCCCATAGTTTTTAGTGAATTCGAGGAGTTCCACAACTCTATGGTTTGCTTCGTAGGCAATCGATTTTAGGTTGATGAAGGGATTAAGACCACTATAAGCATGTATGGCAAAAAAAATGTGCATGATGTATTATTTTCACCATTGGATCTATCAATTTCATGTAGTTGTAGAAATTTTGAGTTTGTGGGGCTGCTTTTGTGGTCATGCATTGAAGGTGCTTTATGAAAATAAGGTAATGCATCTTCTATCCTAGTACATTTTAAAACGATGAACAAGAAATGCAAAAGATGGGACTACAATAGACTACCATGGTTGTGCAATTAATCTTGATTCTAATCGTGGATATACTATGAGGTCAACTGAATTGGTGAGAGTTTCACATGACATATCTAATCGGATTGTAGAAAATGAAAAGGCTTATCGGTATGAATTGAATGGGTTCTAAATGATCCATATTAGAGTTGAGAAAATAATAAAAGCAAAAGTTTCAGATGATGCACAGACTGCTCATTTTCTTAATATCAAAGATGATTTGGATGTATATCTACAACATGGCAGTCAATTAGGATCTTGTCAATTAGGTGATGCTGATAATTTAGAAAATGAAGGAAACACAGACAAAGTCCATAATGATCTCACACACAAGGTGGCAGGATTTGCAAAGCCCAAGAGTGGCAAGATTAGTAGTGGTGGTAGCAAAATAAAGCAACCATTTGAGAAAAGAAAAAAAAATAAAAGAAAAAAATTACCGACTCCAACCAAAAACCCCAGATACTTTGACAATTGAAACTCAACCTTTAGCTCTTCTTGCTTTGGTATTATCTCAACTCGCATATGCATTATTTAATTACTTTTACTAATATATTTTTTAGTTCTAGATTTATTTATTTGTGTCTGTCATTTCTCATTTGGTAGGAATCATATGGTGTTGGTCTAAGCATGACAAATATTCTTGATCTTAATCAGCTAGATACCACATGTCAACCATATGCAATGAATATCGACACCCTTGAATTGGCAAATACCCTAGTTCTTAATCAATTTGCAACTCAAAACCCCATCACCATGACAGACTTGCTACAGGCTTCAATAGCTTAAAGCACATTTGAAAAATAAACAAGCAAGGTATTTATAGAGTTAAACATAAAATGTTGTGAAAATAAAATGAGTATTTTTTTAAGTCTTTAACATTTTCTTATTTGTTGTAGGAAATATTTATAGATGCACCAAATTGGTGTTTCAGCACAAATTTGGATTAGGGATACCAACCAACATAGGCAATAAAAGAAATGGCTCCTCTCTCCCTCTTTATATCTCATTGTTTTCACAGATTTTGGCTAATATAAATGCTTTTTATTGTTTTGTATTATGATTTGCACAATAAAGATATAAAGAGGGAGAGATAGGAGCCATTTCTTTTTATTGCTAATGCAATCTTTTTCTCTTTTCGTCAGGATGATTTTGGCAGCCGATGTATTGTTGAGTCTTTGCTATTTAAAGGGTTTTATTTTGTTTTCAATAGAGTAGGATTCAAATCTAGTGCCTTGATTTAAATATAGCCAAAGAGATGATGCTCTTGTAGCTAAATGACTGCTTTAAGTCTTATTCTTTTGGGGCTTGCTTTTATTGACATATAAAAATGCATCCTTATCTTTTAAATGAAGTCAATATATTAGCATTTGGTTTGAAAAGTCAAAATTGAATTACAAAAGCTCTTTTCAAGTTTGATATTTCTTACCCATTTATAAAAAAGAAGAAAATGGATGAATCGTTCATTACTCTGATTTCATATTTCTAATCCTACCCTTTTAAAATGCCTAAAGAGAATGGAACAAGTAGAGTAGGTGATATATTACCCCTAGGCTATAAATCATCCAATATCCTGATTTCATATTTGCAATCCTACCCTAAAGAGAATGGGACAAGTAGAGTAGTTGATATATTACCCCTATGCTACAAATGTTGGGAGTGGGACAAGTAGAGTAATCGATATCTCAATATTACCCCTATTACCCCTAGGCTACAAATGTTTGGGTGAACACCTTATTCTTGGCGTTGGAAAGCAGAAAGTCTCTTTTCCATTTGACGAATAGTTTCTCATCCCTCTGCAATACTGCAAATGACGATTGTCTTATTAGGCAAGCATCTTGTTATTGGCGTTGGAAAACAGTCTTCTCCATTTGATGAATGTTTTGGTGCTAAAAGGCGAATAAGAGAAAAGTAGCAGAGGGTGTTTCGGCATTGACACTTGTCACGTATGGAACTCCAAGTGTTTAGTTTCTTTGATTTCAAAGATAATCGGAGTTATTGCGTTAATGGGAAGAAGACTGAATCGGAATGCATGCCGGAATACTTCTCAGCAGTGTCAGGATTTTCCTCATATCAGTGGTAATTTCTAACCTTTGTTTTTTCTCATATATTTTTTAGATTTAGGTTTTATAAATAGATTTCCTGTTTTGTGTTTTTTGTTCCAATTTTTTGTGATTACTGTTTTGGTTTAACAATAGATTTTTATTGATCAGATATAGGTTTTTTGGTTCATCAACACCGAAGCATATTCAAAAAGGGTTAAAATCAATATCAGTTTCGGTGGTTCAACTTATGGTAGTTTTTCAGTATTTCAGGTTTTTTAGCTCAAGCATCCCAACAATGTAGTTTGGTGCAACATAATGATAGGTAAGGATTTTTAGCAACAAGTGAGAATTTTCAAAAATTCTTACTTTTTGTTTTGGTTTTTCTCCATTATAACTTAGATTTCTTATGTTTCTTTTTCTTTTTCTCTTGTGAAAATCTGAAATTTTTGAGATTTCAGACTCTTTCCTAGAACATCAAGATACTTTATAGAACTTTGAGTGAAATAATAACTAAAGCTACAAGTCATGCAAAATGTTGGTCAGTCCCTTGATCTTCATATTAATTGTTTGGTTTAGAAGTATTTGGATGATTAAATACTAAAATATATAAGCTTACACTCTTCTTTATTCATTTATTATTTTCTTATATTTTGTTTATTGTGTTGTACTTTTTAGTTGATTAAATTTGCAGAAAGTAAAATAAAATAGGAAAAGAAGTTCTTTCAGCTACACTTAAAATTAAGCAAGTTATACTACTTTTCTATTCATCATAGTTGATGTGGTCTGGACCTGAAAAAAAAAAAGGAGAAAGAAGATAAAAATAACTTAGGAATTAGTACCTGAACTTATCCAACAGCTAATAGCTATAAGAACTATCGGAAAAGAAGTTCTTTTAGCTACACTTAAATTAACCAAGTTATATTACTCTTCTATTCATCATAGTTGATGTGGGATGGACCTGCTAAAATAAAAAAGAGAAAAAAGATAAAAATAACTTAGGAATTAGCACCTGAACTTATCCACCAACTAGGCCTATTCATAGGCTGGGCCAGACCGGGCTTTGTATATGTATCAACAAAATACACTCAGGCCCGAGCCCGAGCCTGGCCTGACCATCGAGCCTAAGTCTTGAGCCCAATCCCGGCCCTCATATAAAGCCCAAAGCCTAGGCCCGAGCCCAAGCCCAGCCAGAAATAATAAAAAAGTGTTTTATTTATATTAAAAACCTTCAAAACTCAAAAAATAATAAGCATCTCACTATTACATGGAAAAAAAGAAAAAATGAACAAAGAAAAAATATTGTATATATATTTTTTATAAAATAAAATATATTTTTATTTAATATATAGTATCAAGTTGGACTCGACTCGGACTGGGATTTTTTGAGAAAGCCCGAGCCCGGTTCGAAAAAAAGTTTGGTCCAGTGCTTTAGACCTGAGCCTGAGCCCGTGGGCCTAAAATTATGACCAAGCCCAACTAAATAACAGGTCGGGTCGGGCCAGCTCGTTGGGCTATCTAGCCCATGAACAGGTCTACCAGCAACTAATAGCTATAGGAACTATATGGAATCAACACCAAGAGCTTCTTGAAGGAATCAATACCATCAAGAAAATTAGATAATTTCAGCATTAAAAGTAGAAAGTTCAAAATTTTAGTGGTGGGCTTTGTGGGGTGAAGGAAGGAGGGGCTTTGGGTGATCCAGGATGTAGAATAGGGATGGAGAAGCATGTAGAGTGTGGACAGTTTGCTATCCACAAAGGAATGAACCAGAAATTAGAAATAAAGATAAGAGCTCTTGCTGTAATGACAAACAACATAGAGACAAACCACCTAGAGAATAAATAGTTGATAGAGAAGAAAAATTGACCCAAGACAACTTAAAACAAAACAAACCTATGGGTGACCCAACCCATAGGGACACTCAAATAAGGATTCTTAACTCTTAAAGTAACTCTAATAATGCATGCCTGATCCAACTAAAACTAACTCAATGTAAAGAAACACAAAATTACTACAAAAGGTACATCCACGAAAAATAGGTAAGGATGTTAAACATCTGGAGCATTGTTTTCCCATACAACTATAGCTTAAACTATAATTGATCTATGATGTTAAATGGGCCCACTTAGGATCCAACACATAAATGCCAACCAAAACTTGCAAGAATGACTCAAGAGCAAGATATGAAATACAAGAAGGTTTAGGGATTTTGAATGTTTTGGATGATAGAAGGAATCCTCATCAGCCTCTCTCTCAATTATGAGACTGAAAAATTAAAAAAAAAAAAAAGTGCATCAACCAATTAATATGCATGATACCAAGGATTTAAACCTTAAACGCGCACATAAACCATTAAGCCACTTTTAATCTTGTGCAATCTAATAAAATAAAATAACTTCTTTATATTCTAGTGTCCAAATGTAATACAAAAAAAATTACATTTATGTTTAACAATTCCAGAAAAATAAAAAAAATAATATTCAAAACTAATATTTTATAAACTAATAGAATAAATAATTTCTTAAATCCATATTTATATAAAAAAATTTGTTTAATCTCAAGAAATTTATACAAAAAAAAAGATATTAATAATAGAAAAATTATTTTGGTACTTAATATTTATAAATTTTAACATGACATGTATCTTAAAATTTTATAAATTATTAATTAATATTTTAATGTGAACTAAATAAAAGTATATATATTATTTAYAAAAACCTCGAGAATATAATATAAATTGAATTTGTCAAATCCATTAATCTACATTTATATAAAAAATGATTTTTTTATCTCAAAATTTATGGAAACAAAAATATTAATAATGGAATAATTATTTTAATAGTTAAAAATTATGAATTTGCATATGATGTGTATATTAGAAAATTTAATATATTTGATATATTTTAAGTTAATATTATATATTATTATAAATTTTTATTTTATATTTTAGTTACATTTTATAATAACGTTTTTATTGTTTACAAAGATAAAAATATTGTTAACTAAACATTTGAGAATTAAATTTTAGTTGATTTTTAGTTAATATTAAAAATTAAAAATAGTAAAATACAAAATAATCGACATAATAATTCACATATAATAGTTGCATATGTTTTGTGCCTTGAAATTCAATAGAAAATAACATAATAATAGTTTTGTGCATGTATTAATTTTTAATATATATATATATATATGTTCCCGGATTCTTGATTGATACAATATCAATAAAATTTTATGATTTCTATGCATCTCACTATATTAATTGTAGTATATTTCTTCACATATACCTTTAGAATATACATTTTCTATGTATCTATACATTAATTATCACTATTTTGATCTTAAAAATAATGTTATTAATATGTTTATTGAATTTATATGCATTTTTTGGCATATCCATGCATTTCCAAAGTGTATTCGTATTCGTATCCGTATTCGAGTGGTCCGATATGATACCCGATACCGATACTTTAATCCTTGCATGATACACAATTTTTTGGTATCATGTGTGTTCATATTTTGAACTTTGACCATTACTAATCAACAAATTGAATTCACAACTAGCCAATGTTGAAAGGTAGGTAAAAAATCGTATTAATGATTCTATAAATCAGCATGTACGATTAAACATCATGTATAGTGAGAAATTTTGATCAGCAATTAAACTTTATTTATTAAAATGAAGTAAGTTTATAATTTCTTTACTGAAGAGTTGCCCAAATTACAAGGAAACAAGAGCTTTCAAACATTTGCTTGGTCTCCTAGGGTAATTTATCAGCATTCATCTTTTAACTTAATAATTATGGATTCTGCTTAGAGCAAATAACTAGAGCAACTTGAAGTTTAGATATGGCTTACTTCAGCTCATTCATTATCTTAGGCATTGCCAAAATTTTTCAAAGTTTTTTTTGTTCCTGACAGTTTTACTGAATGAAAAACCTTGTCTTAGCTTTTGTTTATCTTGGCCATAGGGCTGCAAATGAAAAACCTTATTTTGTATTTAATTTTGTTGGATTGTGTTGGTTCTATACAGATATATAAGCTTTGAAATAAAATGGGTATCTAGATATAATGAATTGAATTCAGATTTGGATATGACCCTATCTGGGTTTAATCCAATTACTTGGCCAAAATTTTTTTAGTGTAGTTAATGCCTTGCCTAGGCTTTTTGGAGGCCTATTGCTTAGGTAAAAAATTTGGTAGGTGATATAGATACGAATGCTTGGATTTGGCTGACCTTATGTCTAGGTATTTAATCAATCTATAAGTGGAGGCTAAGAATTTTCTGTTTGAGGAGTTAAAAATCAAGGGACAACTTAGCTTGAAGATAAGGTAGAAGCAGAATGCAACTGTATTGGTAGAAGGAAAAGAGACAATGGAATGGCTCAAACATTTTCTGGTTGAGGCTGCAAACAAAGGGAAGAACCCAAGTTGGAAAGAAAGAGTTATGGCAACAAGAAGAAGGTACATTTTGGAATGCAGAAGGAACTATAGAGGATTTTACATTACCCTTACAGAGTTCTTTGCCAAGGGTAAGAAACAATTGGTATGCTTCCCAGAAGGAAAGATAGCCAAGGTTAGTAGGGGGTTGCTGAAAGTCTTAAGGCTCTCTTCTAACTAACTGGAAGAAAGAAAAACAGGAGATCTCTCAAGTGTATGTACTGCAATCTCCCTTTGAACCTTCGGGCTCTAAGTATGACCCTATAGCTTTGGCTCAAAGTACAGCCACCCCTGTGAACATTAATTTCAGGTGATAAGTGTGGGAAATGATGCTAGTAGTTGAAGGTAAAAGTCCAATCTCCGATTGGAAGAAAGTTGCTGATCTTATGCAAGATAAGTTGAGGTTAAGAAGTACTTTCATATTAACTCTTGTTAACAGTTTTAAAGCAGTACTCAATCCCCTTGATAATTTGATGGAAGTTTCTACTAAGAGCTTCCAACAAGTCTAGGGGTCTTTTGATGTGTTTCATTGGACTCCCTCATCTAACACAGACAATTTCGATTATGGATGGAGTGGTGATTCGAGTATTAGGGCTGCCTTTTCATCTGTGGAAACATGAAGTAGCCTCTCTCATTGTTGTTCTTTGTGGTGCACATCTCGATGGTGAATTTTGAGGAGATCTTTGTTTAGCAGCCCTCCTCTTGAGTGGAGTCAAATCAGAGGAAATCCCTAGGAAAATAATTTTCTATGTGCATAGACTATTCATCCCAGTGTGGTTGGCTTCCTCCATTGAAGTTGCACAATGAAGGGAAGGTCGGAAGGTAGAAGATGAACAAGTAGAGGCACAGGTGCTACATGGAAGGTTGGGATTGGAAGTTCAG